CAAAATCAAACTTTTTGGCAACAATTAACAAAATTGTTTTGTTTGGCATAAAAGCAACACAGCTTATCACCCCGAACCTACCACCCCTGCTGTCAAACATGGTGGTGGCAGCATCATGGTTTGGGCCTGCTTTTCTTCAGCAGGGTCAAGGAAGATGGTTAAAATGGATAGGAGGATGGATGGAGCCAAATACAACCTGATAGAGTCTGCAAAAGACCAGAGACTAGAACGGAGATTTGTCTTCCAACAAGATAATGATCCAAAACATAAAGGAAAATCTACAATAGAATGGTTCACAAATAAAAAAATCCAGGTATTAGAATAGCCTAGTTAAAGTCCAGACCTGAACCTAATTGAAAATCTGTGGAAAGAACTGAAAACTGCTGTTCAAACTCTCTCCATCCAACCTCATAGAGCTGCAGCTGTTTTGCAGGAAGAATGGGCAAACATTTCAGTCTGTCAATTCCAAACTGATAGAGACAAACCCCAAGAGAATACAGCTGTAATTGAAGCAAAAGGTAGTGCTAGAATTAACTCAAGGGGCTGAATAATTTTGTACAGCCAATTTTTTTAGTTTTATATTTGATAAAAAAAAGTTTAAAATATTCAGTAAATTTTGTTCCGCTAAATATTTCTGCGCCACTTAAAATGTATTATCTTTATGTTTGAAGCCTGAAATTTGGCAAAAGATCGAAACATTTAAGTGGCCCAAATACGTTCACAAGGCACTGTATGATCATCTCTATTTGGCAAAACAGATTACATTATAATTAGGGCAGAAATGATCATTTTACTGGCATGATTCATCTCTTGTAAACTTTTCATTTAATGCATTAATAATATGATAGCAAAATGAATTAGTAGAGATTGTCGTAACAGATTCTGAACCAGATAAAGCTAACAGTATATTTACAGAGATTTTTCATTTTAAATTTTAAACCTTTTTTGTTCAATATTTGTTTCATTACTTCTCTGCTTCAGTTATTATTTCAGCATATGTTATATCTTAGAGGTTACCGTATATACTTTGTTTAAAGATTTATTTCAAATATGAAAGAATTTTATAATCATTTTAACAATAAATTTTTCATGATTATTATCATGAATTGTTTCAGTCCTACATGATTTTTCTCTTTTGGGATTTCTTAGTACTTAAAAAAAAAGAAAAAAAAAAAGAAAAGTCAATAAGATGGTGTAATTACCTTAAATAAAACTAGGGATCCAGATCTTATATTGATATTGTAAATATCAGTCTGATATCAGCCAAAAAAAGGTTATCGGAATACGTCGGCCTACCACTACAATCAGCCATATAATGTGCTAATAGAAACACCACTTTTGTTTCAATTTAAATTAACATATTGTCAATAAAACTGTGCGAGTAATTTCATTTGATCAGGCCTTTTTTACCATTCCACGGTGCAAGAGGAGCAATAATAGTATATATTTTTCATGCTGATTTAATATCGGTTTCTATCAATACCTGAAGCTGCAATGTTGTCCTTTTATTGGAAATCAAAACTTGTATCGGACTATCCCTAGTTAAGACACAATATGTTTCAACATGTTGAAATACTAATTTTGAAAAGTTAATGTTATTCATAACTTTGTATTATCTCAGTTTATATGTTTTTGTTTACTAAAGTACCTGGTTATTAACTCAAGTAATCGGCTAGAGTTGTCCATGCTTGGCACCTTTTACAGACGTTTTGCTTGAAGTTTGTCGCTTTAGTTTACAACAAAGCTACTTCAACGAGGTAATGGTACATTACATTCAGTCATTCACCCATTAATGCACCATTCACACACTGATGGGTGGCGTGGTAATGACTCAGTTACTTTTTGCAGTGTAATTAGTTTTTTCTAAGAGGAAAAAGTGAAGTGCTCAGAGAAAAGCAGCAAGAGGTAGCAGTTCTTTAGTTTACTCCATACAACTGGACAGATTTGACTTTTAATGGTGTCCGTTAAAAAGACTAAAATCTTTGACTAGCTTTTTAAAATCTAGCTGTTTATAAGCTATGCCTTTCTAATCTCTTTTTGCATTTTCACACCAGTAACCCCCATACATCAGTCCTACGAGTTTCCCCTTATATGCAAATGGTGGTTAGTATGTTCTGTTATCTTTTACAGAGAGACACTGACAGCCCGTTGCTAACTGGATCATCAGCAGCGTCTGATTGGGCGATTAGGGTGAGCCAAAACAGACTGAAGATTTCAGACTGAATGAAAAATGTTGTCTTCCTAATGTTTTCATTCTCTTCTAGCCTGATGAAAAGGGGAAGTTTGAGGCGATATTTGAAAGTCTATCCCCTATAAAAGGTCTCCTATCTGGTGACAAGGTCCGACCTGTTTTAATAAACTCCAAGCTACCTCTGGATGTTCTGGGAAAGGTAATATACACCCTGTATACCGCTGTATAGTTGAACATTTCAAAGCAATCAGATGTTGAGTATTTTTCGTTGTCTAACTATAGATTTGGGAGCTTAGTGATGTTGACAAGGATGGACATTTGGACAAAGAAGAATTCACTGTGGTATGTGTTTATTTTTATTTGTTTATTTTTTAGTTTTTTACTGTTGCCTTAAGATAAATGTAACATGACAAAGTTTTTAACAATAGTTGTTTTTATCATGTTCCAGGCTATGCATCTTGTATATCGTACTATGGAGAAGGAGCCTGTCCCAAGCAGCCTGCCCTCCTCTCTTATCCCACCTTCCAAAAGGAAAAAATCAGCACCAGCCCTTCCGGGCGCCGTGGCCGTGTTGCCTGGCCTTGGATCCAGCCCCATTGCTCTCAAAGAGACTCTGCGGAGCTCTCCTTCTCTTAGAAGCTCCACTCCTCCTATCGGGAGCACTGTTCCTGCTATGGGTGGCTTTAATCCCCTCAGCCCCAGTGCTGTCAAACTGTCTCCACAACACTCCTTTAAATCCAGCTCAGCATCCACTCCAACGGTACGTTAACTTATGATGCTTTTTTTTTCTGGGTTCATTAAGGCTGAAACATCGGATTATAATCGATTATTGAAATAATCGTCAACTAATTTAGTACGGTAATCGATTAATCGTTAACTGGAGTATAGAGACTCTAACACACGCCTTTAGCTGATACAGCAACCCACTAAGAGCAGTAATGATACCAAGCTGATACATAAACATTTTGCGTTTAAAAATAAAAAGGTCCGTTAAAATGCTCTATCCAGAGTTCCTCAAGTAGAAACTTTTGAGTTTTCGTTCAAAGAACCTTTTGCTATCCGATTATCAATCAATTTATCAAAAAAATAATCAATTAGCAAAATAACCATTAGTTGCAGGATTAGTGGGCATCAATATCAATTCATTAGAGACTTTGACTGATGATTGTTTTTGTTTTAAATTTCACAAAAATTAGAATTTAAACGGAAAATTTAAAAAGTGTATAATTATGAGGGTTAAAAATAATTTAAGTTCTTTATTTTCAGTTTCCTTTTATAAAGGATTTTACAGGAATTATGTTTGGTGTTTATAGAGACTTAATGAAGTTCACAGACATAAAAAGATTGCTTCTCAGTTTTTATTAGTTTCTTTTATTATTATTGGATATGAATTGCAAAATTTTATTTCATTTATTACAGCTTTTGATTTGGGGAAAGTTTGGGTTGAAAAAAAGCTCTGCTTGTGTATTGGTTTGTTTTGCTTCTGCAAATAACAATTTAACTTGTTTAAAGTAGTGTTACAGGTTCTGATCTGGGAGTTTTGGAGAGTCTAGTAATTCATGTATTAACTTTACTGTTGCCAACAGTAAGACTTGTTTTACCACATTGTTGAGGCTATTGTATGAACAACTGTTTGTTTCTCCTGCAGGGATTTTTTTCACCCGTGAATTTTTGAGAAACTGTTTCCTGGAAAAGGAAACAAATGGTATCACCAAAATACTTGGGACAAAAGAAAGTAAATGTCGTTGGTCCCGGAATCTTTGTAGAACATACATTTAACTTAAGATGGTTTGTCTTAACGATCACTCTGATCATCTTCAGATTTATAAAAAATTATACGATATCCCTTAAGTAAATCTGACCTGAACCATAAATGGGTTTAATTCTTTTAGATTATATCCATTTGATGTTGAATTTAAAGTTTTTAAAACTTACGAACAGAAAAAAGTAATAAAATACTTAAAAAATAGCAAACCATCAAGCTGATTGGTCGGTTCTTAAATGGCACTCAAACTCTGTAAACATCCAGCAGTAAAATTTACACATTTTCTTTTTATTCAGAGCAGATTTGGATGAAAGCAGTCAGTGTTTGTTGAATTTTTAGTAGTTGACCCTGTTAACATTCAAATCAAAGGCGATTTGAGCAGCAAAAAAGCGTCTGCTGCTTCATCTTTAATGTTTGTCCACAGTAAATTATGTACAAATGCATCTGATGCTTGTGGTGCTCTTCTGTTAAACAGCTGATTGGCTTTGCTATATTTGGTGATGTAAGTGGGCAAATAGCAGTTTTAATTAGTTTTTAAGCAACAAAGTAGACTTCAAAAGATTGTCTGTGCAGTCAGTTCTTCAAGATTATGATCCTGCCTTAAAGGTCCCATATTATGCAAAATTCCCATTATGAAAATTTTGTAACAGCCATGTGTCCTGAAGCTTTTGTATGAGGTTAACAAAGAATGATAACCCTTTCACCGCTCTCACTGCCTTTCTCCACCTCTTAGTTAATGTGCGCTCAAAAGGGTCAGTTTGGAAATCTTTCCCCTGATGATGTCATAAAGCGAATTAAACTGTCCAGAACGGTCTGTAGCAGCCCATCAGTCAAGCTACAGCCTTCATCTAATGTATTATTTCATCCTCCCAGCCACTATCTTTACGAACCTTGACTGGTTGTCATGGTTACGGGTTGTGGGTGCGCTGACTCTGGGAGGACAGGGTTTGGGAAAGCCAAAACGGTTCATCCAGAGGAGGGCTGAGTACGGAGATTTTCTGGTAAAGCCTGTCTGCTTAATCTGAGAGTAATTTCCTTGCACAAATGACAAAAACATGCTCTGATGGCCGGTTTATTAATATTTTTTATTTTCAAATGTAGCATAAAATTTTAAATGTTATTTTGCTGTCAGGGCCGTGCAGACCTCCTCACAACGGCAATAAGGGACTTTATGCTGATGTTCGTGGCGGCTAGAAGAGAACATTAGTGTTTTTCAGATATGTGGAACAAACTGCAGACACCAGTATATTAAAAGTGAAAATATTTTGCTGGCAGGTTTCAACATTTTAAGGTAACTGAGGCAATAATGAGGCAAAAATACTGCTCAGGGAAGCAGTTGTTACCACTGCTGCCTTGCAGCAACAAGGTTCCGTGTTCCAAGTCCCGCCCCCGATGTTTCTGTATGGAGTTTGCATGTTCTCCTAAGCATGCATGGGTTCTCTCAGGGTACTCTTCCCACAGTCCAAAAACACGAATGTTAGGTTAATTGGTTTTCCTAAATTCTCCTTAGGTGTGAGTGTGTGCGTGATTGATTGTTTGTCTCTGTGTTGCCCTTCAATGGACTGGTGACTTGTCCGGGGTGTACCCCACCTCTCGCCCATAGACAGCTGAGATTGGCACCAGCACCCCTCGCGACCCCAGTGAGTGATCAAACAGGAAAAAAGAATATTCTTGACTTTTATGGAGACCTATTAGAGTTTTACCCGGTTTATATATACAGCACAGACCAAAAGTTTGGACACACCTTCTGATTCAAAGAGTTTTCTTTATTTTCATGACTAAGAAAATTGTAGATTCACACTGAAGGTATCAACACCATGAATTAACACGTGTGGAATTACATACTTAAAAAAAGTGTGAAACAACTGAAAATATGTCTTATATTCTAGGTTCTTTAAAGTAGCCGCCTTTTGCTTTGACTTCTACTTCGCACACTCTTGGCATTCTCTTGATGAGCTTCAAGAGATAGTCAGCCGGAAATGGTTTTCTCTTCACAGGTTTTAAGTGGGATTTCTGTTGTGTTGTACAGAAGTCAGGTGGATAAATAGATGATAGTCCTACTGAATAGACTGCATCTGCTGCCTGTGAAAGGTGTTATGTGCCTCAGATGCTGAAATGCTCATGAGGAGCTGCCGCAGCTGCTCAGATACTTCAAGGTGCGCTGCACCTGCTGCTAGAGACGTGCTGCAGGTCCTTCTGATATGCTTCAACCATAGACTTTGCATGTAAACCGACTGCTTCTGCCTCTGAAACTGCATTCAGTGTGAACGTACCATTATATCCAAGACTTTAAAAATTCCATGTTAAAAAATTTTTAAAAATGCATACAGAGCCTTGCACAAGTACTAATACACTTTGAATATTTGCATATTTTTTCACATACAACTTCAATGTTTTTATTTAATAAATTTCTACAAATGTAAATTTCAAGTCCTTTCCCAGATACTCTGCTATAGTTTACTTAAGATTAAACTCAGGTTTGTAACATGATTGTGATTCAATCTAATCAGAACTTCAAAACAACCACAGGGGGCGCTACTGTACTGAAATGTATTTCCCTCAGCAAATCAGAATCAAATAAGTAGATCATTTTTAGAACTTGGTGTGATTCTCTGGAGGTCATTTAGCCTTTGGATTCGCTCTACTGGGGCCTAAATATTTACTAGTTTATGTGGTTTGCAGCTTCTAATAGTTTAACAAATGTTTTTCAAATATTGGTGTTTATGTATTTACATCCCACTTTATCCAGCCTCAGACACACAAAGTGGTACCATAATGGTCTCGTGACCCAAACTACTGGTCAGAATATTGTTTTAAAATGCTCTCCCAAAATCATTGTCTTTGACTCATCTGCTTTGTTCGTTGGTCTCCAATAAATTTCCAATCTTCACAGAGCAACTGCAGGATATTAACAGAAATTTAACAAAACACTTGGAAAATGAAATTAATCGCACTAGGTTTTATTTAGAGGTGTCAAAGTAATGGGGTCTGAAAACAAATGTATACAACACTGAGGATTTGTAATCATGAATGTCTTAGAAAAGCCAAGCTTTATTGCATTTTACTTCATTGCAATTTACATTCCTAATGAAATTGATTCAATTCTTAAAGTTGAAATGTGACTGAATGTTGATGGACTGTTATACTTTTATAGCTGTTTAAATCAATGCATGTTGTATTGGCGAAAGGGGCATTAAAGATTAGATATATGCTCTAATTTTTAATGTTGTTACCAACAGGCTGCAGTGAACTGGGTGGTACCTGTGGCCGACAGAGAAAAATATAGGGAGCTTTTCAACAAAACCGACAGCGATGGGGACGGCTTCATCAGCGGGACGGATATTATTGAGATCTTCATGCAGTCCAACCTTTCTCAGACGATGCTGGCGCAGATCTGGTGAGTCCACCTCTTAGTCCAAAGCAAGTGTGCCGTCAGATGCTTCTAAAGGCATGAAAAAACGCACACTGGAAAAGGCGCTGAAACTATAAATGTCTAGCACTAAAAATATCCTATTTTAAAAACAAAATGTTCTTGCTGCTTAATACATTTTTTTTTTATTTCTTTTTCAATGTTATATTTTTTTCCAAAAACTGATATAATAAGTAGATTCACAGGTTTAAGCAAAACTACTTAGTTAAATTATTTTTTTCGCGTTCAAAACAGCTGAATTTGTTTGTTTATTTAAGCAAGAAGTTTTGCAGCCTGCTGACAGTGTGCAGAAACAACTAAAATTAGACGCAAGAAGAATCAGTTTTAAAATGCAATAGGTCTTAAATCTAAGCAGAAGACCAGCTGCATATCTCCATCTTAAGAATGTTTTATTTGACCTTAAATTGTTTTGTAATGTGTAAACACAGACAAACTTGTTTACGGTCCCTGTTAATATGGTTAATAATCCAGGGTGTCCAGGGTGAGGTGTCAGCTCCCCCATACCAGGCTATACCCCGTGCTGTGATTTCATAGTCACCATAAGGGTGCCTTGAACAGCTCTTTGTCCGACCCTCAATCCAGAGGCTGTTTGCATTGAGAGACTCTACCAGGGGTTTTAAATCCCCAGACAGCATAGCCTCTGGGATAAGGCTGAAACAATTCATCGGATTCATCGATTATTGAAATAATCGTCAACTAATTTAGTGATCGATTTATCGTTACCTGGAGTATAGAGACTGTATAATATTCTTTTAGCTGTCAGAACAACACATTTAAGGAAGTAATTATATCAAAATTGTAAAAAGATATATATACATTTTGCATTTAAGATAAAAAAAATGTTTTTCCATCTGTCAGTATGCTCTATCCAGAACCCCTCAAGTTTTAGTTTAATTTAGTGAAAAATCTTCTTTAAGGAACATTTGGCTATCCTATTAATTTCGATTACGATTCCATTTGCAAAGTAATCATTAGCTGCTGTCCTACTCTGGGATAATCCAAGCACTGAAACCTGTCCACCACCTTAAGTTGGCAGTTTTAGGCGTTTTACTTAGTCTATGGTAATTACCCTAACTTTTGGATCCAGCAAACCTGTGAAATATCTGATATATGCATCATAGTAACAGGGAGCAGACATTGTTGAGGCATAATTCTAGCCTGTTTCTTTCATAAATTACTCTTAGACCCTTTGGTTTGTGAGCTTTTTAATTATTCCCAGTCAAAATACGTTATTGATTTTATATATATAAATACGTTAAGTCACCTAACTGATTGCACCACCTGAATCTCTGCAAGCTGTGATTTAGACATTTCAAACCATCTAAAAGTTTAGCATTAATCTGTGAGGCGTTTTAGTCAGAGGTGTCAAGTAACGAAGTACAAATACTTTGTTACTTTACTTAAGTACACTTTTTAGGTATCTATACTTTACTCCATTACTTATTTTTCTTCCTACTTTTGACTTCTACTCGTTACAATTTCCAATAAGTTTCTGTACATTCTATTCTTTACATTTTTAAAACAAACTTGAGTAAAGAGATCAAGTTGATACTTCAAGTGTTTTTCGAGTGTTTTTAAACTGCAGTATCTATACTTCTACTCAAGTAACTAATGTGTGTACTTTTGACACCAATGGTTTTACTACCTATCCTCAGAAAAAAAGTTTGCAGGGTTTTTCTCTTTTAAACTCTTACTTCCTTTGCACAGGGGACTCGCTGACACAAAACAGACAGGCAAGCTGACACCAGAGCAGTTTGCTCTGGCCATGCATTTCATCCAACAGAAGGTGACTAAAGGCATAGACCCCCCCTCAACTCTGACATCAGATATGATCCCCCCATCAGAGAGGACTGCAGGATCAGCTATGGGTCTCGTGAGTCTGAACTTTATAAGCTCTCCATAAATCCGTCTCTGGCAAAGTCTGATTTGTGACATGAAATCTTTTCCTTTAAGGTCATGTAAAATATTTATGAGTAGATTGAATGGTGTTCTGTCTCACTCATAAACTAAAAACTACTCATAAATACTCTACAAAAACCACTCCCAAAATTTGACTAATTTCTCAAAGTATGTGTCTTTGCTGCATGGTGATTTTGCACAAGTATTCACACCCTTTTCACCTTTTGTCCTATAACCACAAACTTTCTATGTATTTTGTAGAGAATTAATAGACTAAAACCAGTTAGTGCATGTTTTTTGAAGGGAAAAAATGGCTAAATTTAAAATAAAAAATTGCATAAAAAGTGTTGCATGCTGTAGCCGTGTTGACTCTAATAGCCTTAAATTGAATTCAGGCTAAACGGTTACCTTCCTGGTAAACGAATGGAGTCCATGTGTCAATTTAATTTCCGGTTCTCAGGACTGTTGATGAATGTTAACGGAGAAATAACATCGGGGAGATCAAGGAACAGCAGGAAGGTTGGGATGAATTTGTGGAAATGTTTAAGGCAGAGTCAGGTTTTTAAATAGGGTAATTTATAGAATATTTTAAACAGAGCTGGCAAAGAGCTTTTACATGCGAAGCTTTCAAATGATAACCCTGCAGTAACTGCAGAAGAGCTCATATCTGGACAAGACATTTGATTAAAAAGGTTGATTTTACTTACAGATTAGTTGTGCATGTCACAAATCTGGCATTTATGGAAGAGATTTGCAAGAAAACATAATATAAGAAATTGACTTTAAAGTTTGCAAGCCTCATTTGGGCAGAAGCATGTCCAAGAACCTACTCTGATTAAAAGAGGACTTAATTATTTTGCCTTTACGCAAGCTGCTCTGTAAAGCAAAAACCAAAACATCCTTGAACCTTTCGTCCCCCTGAACACAACTTCTCCACAGAGATTCATGGTGGTGGCTGGATAATGTTGTGGGCACTGAAACTTGTCAGAGTTGACGGGGACATGAATATTGCTAAATATACGGTGGCCCTTAAAGATAAACTGTTAGAGGTTGCAAAGGATTTAGACAACAAAGTGGATCTTCAACTTCCAGCTGGACGACACCCCAACCATACAACTAGATCTGAAGTAGTTTAAAGCTGTGGTCTCATACTCCAGTACTGGCCAGTGTGCTGCGACACCTGATTGAAATGCATGAATTATTTTCATTTTGCTGCATGATTATGTTGATTTATCGCATGAAATCTCAAACATTGAAGTTTGTGGGTGAAACATAACTTAAACAGGAAAAAGGTTGAAGTGGGTGAATACTTTTGTTGTATTTGTGGTTTTAATGCCTGTTTTCCTCTTTCCGGATCTCCAATTCAGTATAATGCTTTAACTTTTGAGCCCTTTTCTATCCCGTCTATCAGGGCTATATGGGGATTCTTCCTTCTGTGAGACCAGACCTTGTTTCTGCAGCTAGTATGCTCAGAGTGAGTACTTCCACACACCACCACAAGGTGGTGTTGTTGCTCTATCACATCTCCTGCCCCAGCATGAGAGCAGGAACATACAGCTGTGCTCTCTGACCAAAACCACCTGTTTTAGCAGCTGATGTTTCCTTAGATCTACACATTTCTCAGTAGAAGGAATCTAGAAATCTAGTGGCACAGATTTCCAGAATTCTGTGATTACAGAATAAATTAATAACAATTTCTCATCAAATATCTTCAGTTCTTTGTGTTTTTTATTTTTTTTATTTGGACTAAATCTTTAAAAAAAACATCAATGAATTATCGCAACACAAAGAAAATTCCACTTTCAATATGATGTTAAAGCAATCATTAAGCTCTGTGATAACATTTTCTCTCCACGTGTAATGTAAAAATCCAGTTTGAGAAACAAAACCTTTTAAAATGTCCTCCCCCTCTCTTTTGGGTCCATGTAAATGAAAAGCTTTAGAGAAGCCCTAATTAACATTGGGAGCTCTTTGATTATTTTTCCTGTAAAGTATAAACTGAGGTTTGTAAATAGTTTGTGTTTGTCTGCCAGAGACATAGGCCACAATGATAGTGTCACGCTATGACAGACAGCCTTGATTAATGATGTTATGAAAAACGCTGTATTAGCACTAAAAATATCCAATTTAAAAAAAAAATGTTCTTGCTGCTTCAATAACATTTTTTAAAATTTCTTTTTCAATGTTATATTTTTTCCAAAAACTGATATAATAAGTAGATACACAGGTTTAAGCAAAACTACTCGGTTAAATGATTTTTCTCGCTTTTAAAACAGCTGAATTTGTCTGTTTATTTAAGCAAGAGGTTTTGCAGCCTGCTGACAGTGTGCAGCAACTATTGGAGAGGTTCAGGGCTGCGTTCCTTGGTGTCTTTGGGTCACCTTACTGTCTGAATAAAGCTCTTTAAATCTGCCCAACAGTGGTGTGATATAAAATTTAAATCTTTTAAAACCTTGATGCAGATACTTTGCCTTTGCAGTGGTCTGCATGCATGTCTCGTCATTCATCTATTGTCTACCTCTCTCTCTCTCCCACCAAACTGAAAGAGATGTTGCTGTTTCCTTCCGCTGACTTTTGTTTTCTTAGAAATACCAGCAGGGAGCTCTTCTCTCCGCCTCTATTCTGCTGAGACCTCGTCTCTACTTCATCCCTCCACTTATGTTTCAGAATCATTCCTTCATGTCTTAAATTAATTTGACACTTTTCCCCTCCTGCTGTTGCCCATCTCATGTTCTCTGATCTTTTTTTCAGTCCCTCCCTTCGTCCTTAAATTGTTTCTATGCCTCTTTCCTCAGGACAGCACCAGCTCCATTGGGTCAGTTGAGCTTACAGGCAACAAAGAGCTGGATGACCTCAGCCAGGAAGTAGCTCAGCTGCAGAGGTGAGCAGCAGCACCCAAAGTAGCTGGAGGATCGTTGTGAATTGTCTTCCTCTAGAAAAAAAAATAAAAAATGAGGAATTGTTGGAGTAAAGATTTGTTGATCACTCTGCTTAAGCCATTCTGTTGAAATAAATCATAAGTTTTTACTCAAGCTGACAAGTGAGACAATGAACACTTTATAGAACACAATGCTGCATTGAAGTAGTAGAGGTGTGTTTGATTCTGATGGTGGCATGTCAGGTGATTACTGCCTTTTTTTTCCTCTTAAGTTTGTTGAAAGCAGAAGCTATGAAAACCTTTCACTCTGCCTTTGTTTACCTTTGAATGTTCCGTCTTAAATAGGGAGAAATTCTTCCTGGAGCAAGAGATTCTTCAAAACGAGGAAGCCATTAGACAAAAAAACAGTGATGTTCAGGTAAGGTGAAGCTAAAACATTCACATCTTCATGGGAAAATTTAATTTGAGCATTTCCATTGAAAAGGTTAATAGATACGTTATGCTCATTAATAGATCTTTCAAGCACTTTATCCTCTTCAATGTGATAACTATAGCTTATTATTGAGGAAAAAAGTATTTAGTTTCTCGTAATAGTTAGATTTTATATAAAAGCAACATAAAAAAGGATTTATTTGCAGATTATAAGTCTTATTCAAACAATATCTCTACTTTACATACTATATGCACTCAACACTGCATTGAGGCTGTCCTCTTCATTATCAGGCGAATGGCTTTATGAGGATAGTGCTTTATAGATGCCCTCTGTCTTTTCATGGACTCTCAGGACATGCAGATGGACCTGGACAGAGAGAGCAGCAGCCTTCATAGCCTGGAGGCCCAAAAGCAGGATTCCCAGGGACGTCTGGATGAGATGGACCAGCAGCGCTCCAAACTGGAGGGAATGCTCAATGAACTGAAGCAGAAGTGTCAGGAGGAGAGTCAACAGGTCAGACACTGCTTTTTAAATCATCATGCAAATCCCAAAGCTATAAATGTTAACATTTCTCCTTTTGACTGTAGCTTTGAAAATTTTTGGTGTAATTGGTATTGCAGCAGCTTCTTAAATGTTATTTTAATAGTATAAAAGTTTATTTTGTAATTTAACCCTTGCACGGAGTTTGCATTGGTAGTGCTGCTTTATATTAAAAGTATAAGGGAGGAAGTTTGTTTTCTGAGTGGATCATCTAAATAAGTGGTCCTGATTGTCAATCATGCTGGCGATATGTTTACGTAAGGCCTTCCTACGTGCTTATCCCCATTTTCACTTACCGATGGTGAGTCTGAAAGTAGAAAAATTGCAAATCTTCTTTTAGAAAGTAAGCTTGTATGAGTGGGGAGGGTGGGTCTTTTCAAAAATTTGCGAAGGTCCTCCACTGTACCTTTAAGGTAAAACACAGATGTCATTTGCACTACATTTCAATCAGCGTAAAGAAGATTTATGGAGATTCTCTCCCTTTAAACTTTCACATTCTGAGGGGTACCACTATGTAATGTTGTGAAACTAATTAATTATTTGATTCATGTAGAAATTGATGTGTTAGTTTTCTTTTCTCATTTAAAAACAGAACGGATCTCAAAGACTCAAACATTACACAACGGTTAAAGCTTTGATCTGTAGGTCAAAACTCATTGACTTTATCGTCTTTTTCGGCCTTCCCTATGTAGATCTCTTCTTTGCAAAGCCAAATCCGTTCTCAGGAGACCAGCGTCCGCAGCCAGGAGGATGAGCTGAATCGCACCAAGGCGGACTTGAGTCGTCTGCAGGAGGAGGAGGCCCAGCTGGAGCAGAGGTTGGCCTCCGGTCGCATTCAGCTGGACAGTGTTGTGAAGTCACTGAAAACCACACAGGACGAGATCAATCAGGTCAGGCAAGCAGCTGAAGACAGAAGAACTTGCATGTGTTAATTATTTTCAGTAATTCGGCTGAAAAGTTAGAATAACGTGAATATAATATCTAGAAGGCTTTTTGGTGCACAACAACAAAATGTTTCTCGTAGCGGTTAGGGTTATTTCCTTTATCAGTTAACCACTAACCACTGCTTCAGTTTTAGTTTGCAGAAGAGCAATGATATTCCTCCTTCTAAAGATGTCAGAATTTGTAGTCTTGCCTACATCAGCTTTTAAATGCAGACCATTACAGATAAAACCAAACAGTTTTTATCCACTTTTGATATGTTGTTTTTAGGCTCGCAGTAAGCTTTCACTGATCCAGGACACCCAAAACGAACTGACCAAAACTATTGAGCAGTACAACAGCGCTTTGAGCGAAATCAACAGGGGAAACTTAAGCAACCTGCCGGATCTGAGCCCGGGTTTCACTGAGAGGGAGAATGGAGGCTTCAGAAGCACGGTAAGAAACAGAACTGAGTCTGAATGCAATGTCTTTCAGCCTCCAAAAAAACCCCCAAACTAGGGATGCACGATATAATCGCCCCCCTATCGGTATCGGCCTGTATCGGCCTTAAAACTGAATATCTGACATCGGCCACCCCACCGATATTTAACCCGATATTTGATCAGTTTCTGAGTTTCTAAAGTCTAAAAAATAAAAAAATACTAATTCTTCTTCTTCCTCAAAAACTTCGTTTTTACAGACTTAAAAACTTCTAAAGACAAGGGAAAAAATATTAATACATTAAAATATCCCAATATCTTCATATGCTGATATATTGCCA